TGTCTTCCTCTTCTGCACCTGTGCATGCTGATTACCTGCACAAAAGCAGGAGTTCCTCTAAATGCCTCATTAGTGCACTTGTGCTTGCTCTGTTATTTCAAATCAAAATGTCTGCCATGAGTTTATAAGAACATAATTATTTCAAGTAGTTCTCTTTTCTTCATGTTTGTGTGATTGTACAACAAACAAGTTCTGGCTGGGTCATACAATGAATATTTGCACATGAAACCTTCAGGGTTATAAACAGATGTGATTACAATAATTTGTACTTTCTGAACAGCTATTTGCAAATTACATATATTTTTCTGATATGCAGCTTTGTTCTGTGACTGAGCAGAGTTGTAATGTCTGGACATCTTCAGGGGGAAATATTTAAACAAGAACTACTTGGACTGCTTACGTTGCCATTATCAGCATGTTATATTCACAGTTATATTGTTTACTGCCAGTCTTACACCAATGCAGATGACGCCCACAAGTTAATTCCCAGTTTAAAGTTGTTTAATGTAACTTTTGTAGATGACGCCTTTCATTTAGTTTCTAAAACCAACAATAAGGTAAAAGTTTAATACCGTTTAGTTTTGGATTTGTCATCACATAGTCACTTTTATCTCTTCAAGCTCTTCATATAAGGCAAATGCACTGGGTTTCAATGAGCAAGGCATCTCTAAAGCATAATTAATTGGTGTGATAACAATTGCATTCCTGTGTTAACTTTGAAAATCCCTAATTGCTCCCGAGGCACAGCTGCCCTCTGCTCAACCTGGGTGGATCTCATGTGATGAGCTGAATGCAGAGAACTAATTTCATCTTTGTATGGGAGCATACAATGATGACAGCATATAGCACTTTAAAAGGTTAGCAACCGTTTCCTCAGTCTCCATGGGACCCATCAAGGTTAAGGACTCAAATGCATCGCAGCTGAGCAGGAAGCAGATAAATTAAACTCACAAGTTTTATTAAATAAAAGCACTACAGGCAGGAAATCCATAACTCAAGCATGTAATCAACAGGGACCAGTACAGAGGCACAAATGATTCAGCAACAAAAGAGTCAAAACAAGGATCTTATACTTAATAAATCAACACAATAAAGTTCAGATGTGAACAAATGATTAAAAGGAAGTAGAACTGACAACAACATACAAGGAGACCAGTAGTACAAAAATAAACAGGAAACAGTTCAACGTGTTCAAAGCAACACACAAAAATGAACACAAGAACCAAGAACATTAAATTTTACACAAACATTGAGGAGGGTAAAATACATGTTCATGCATATTTTTTTATGAAACCATGAAGCTTTAGTAATCTTATACAACAGTGGATATTAAAGTGTAACCAGTAGAATAAATTGGAATATGATTATGTAATCTAAGATGGCTGGCAAATGCACAACAGGATGGCAAGTTGAAAGCCAAAAACTTTAATGGTAAATAATTTAACTTAAACACGACACCACAGAAGACAACCCATTAGCGCAAACATGAGGGATTTGAAACGATAACAAGACATTGACAAATAAAAACCTCAGTAATAACTACTGAGGAATGGGATTACTGAATGATTAACAGGTGAGATGATTAGTTAATGAGAGGCAGGTGTAAACGGAGCTGGAAGGAGAAGAAATATGAACGATAATGAGCAGAAAGAAGAGGGGGAAGAAACAGCAATGAAAAACAAATTCTAAAAAAAAATCTGAATTCACATCAGGAAAGATCCAAATCAGAAAACCCAATTCAAGGACAACAACCTGGCTGTGACCATGGCACTTCTTCACTGCAACTGTTTTACTGTTTTATTTGCTCCAGGCTGAACATTGGAGGATAATGTTTTTAGTCACTGCCACAGTAGCAGATAAGTACTGTGAAAAGTAAATGAAGGGGATGCACACAGATTAAATGCAAAGGGCTTACACTGAATATCCTGTCAATCCCAGAATGTAATCATACCCAAAGTGCAGTTATTACCTATTTGAACTAAAGCTTTCTCAACTGCTGCAAAGACTCAATGAACACAAAAAAGCTCAAGGAAACATTTACAGGTACATTCAGCTGTTTATGATCCTATGTCAAGTTTC